CACAGGAGGGGAAGACCCTCTATAAGGTGGACTGATTCAGTGACTAGGGTAATCGGGATGGGTGTGTCAGAGGCAATGAGATTGGCACAGGATAGAGCATGGTTTAGGGCTGTTGTACATAGGGTCGCTATGGGTTGCAAACGACTCGATGGCACATAACAACAACAACAACAATGTATTGTTGTTGTTATGTGCCACTGAGTCGCTGGTGACTCATAGCGACCCTATGTACAACAACTCTGAAGCCTGCTCTATCCTGAGCCAACCTTACTGTCTCCGACACACCTACCCCTCATTACTCCAGTCACTGGGTCAACCCATCTCATTGAGGGTCTTTCCCTCTGGCTGTCCCTTCATCTCCCTTCCAAGCATAATGTCCCTCTCCAATGACTGGTCACTCCTTGCAAAATGCCTAAAATATGCCAGACGGGACTTCAGAATCCTTGCCTCCAAGGAATAGCCTGGCTTCATCCTCTCCAGGTTGAACCTGTTTGTTCTCCTAGCAGTCCATGGTATATATAATACTCTTCTCCAGCACCACAGCTCAAATTCCAAATGATCCTGCAAATAAACATTGTTATTATCTTCATTTTATTGTTAGTGAAACAGACATAAATAGGTTAAGTAACTTGTTCAAATTCAGAATTCAATTTAGGTATTCTGGTATCAAACCTCAAATAAAAGAGAGCTCTGCTGGCCTAGTGGCAAGAAGCTGTGCTGCAATCAGGAAGGCACGTGGTTCGAGTCCATTAGCTGCTCCTTGGGAGGATGGGCACTCACCTCCCATGCTAATCACTGCCTCTGAAAACCTGCAGGAGGGTCAGCTATGGGTTGGTTCCTACTCGACAGTGCACAACAACTGTCAACTCAAAGACTTTGAAACTCAAAAGTTTTAATCCATCAGCTGAAGAATCACACGAGAAAGATGGACGGTCTCTTCCAGTGTGACTGAAATTCTCTGAAAATCCACTGGAAGGTCAGCTATGAGTGGTTTTGATTCTATGGCAATTAACATCGATAGCAAAACACTTGTTTCCTATCTGTTTCTTGGCCCAGACTGAAAGCTAAGCTCCACGGAGAGAGGGATGATATCAACTATGTTCATTCATATAACAGGTACACAATTACTATTTGTCGATTAAAATAGCAAGTAAGTTAAAGAATGGTCTATGTTATGCATAATAATGATATAAATGAAAAAAAACTATTTTGCATGCAAAATTTGACAGTCTCTGGTGACTAGCAGGATGATGGTGAGAGGTAAAGAGAAGATTCTAGCATGGAAGCTGGAGGTTCAGTGGTGCCTCTAATTAGAGTGGAAAATTTAGGAGAAGAAAGAGGGAAGATTTTTTGTGGTCAGTGGTACAATATTAATTATTCAGTACTTAGGGCTGGCCTCATTCAAGAACAGGAATATAACAGAAGTCAGCTATTTAAAATTATTTACTCAAAGAATATTTATTGACCCTCTAGCCATGATGGCCACTGTGCCAGTCTTGGGACTAGAAAGTAAATAAGATTCACTTGTTGACCTCAAGGAATTTGCAGTCCAGTGAGAGGGAATATGCCATTGTCAAACATGCTGGCAGAAAAGGTCATTTTCCTGTTCCCACTTTTAAAGGCATTCAACTCGTAAGAAGTACAGAGACAAAATCCCAAATGGGCTTTGGAGTCACATCATCTGGTTTTGTAGCTCAGCCTAGGAGTACACTAACTGAATTATGATGCGAGCAGGTTTCTTAACTGTAGCTGAGGGGTTGTGATCAAAGATCAGATAAGAAAAACGTAAGGCATAAAAGTTCTGAATAGAGTTACACTTCTAACTTGCAGAAACTAGACTGTAATTAAAAAAGATACACTTCTAACTTGTAGAAACTAGAGGTGAATCAGCTATAGACTGCAAATCAAAGGTAAAAAGATGAGCTCTGAACCCCATTAATGGCAGGAGTTTGAGGTGGAAAATGAAATCAGACAGCTATAGTGGAAAAAAGAATAGGATCTGGAGGCCTGCAGACCTGGTCCAAATTACAATTCAGTCAGTTATTAGCTGTGGAAAATCATGCAATTGAACTGAGCTTTAGTTTCTTCATCTTTAAAAATGGAGTTAATAATACCCACTCAGGAGGACTGTTTTTGAGTATGTAAAGGGCTTGGCATGGTGCCTGGCACAGCTGTTGCTCAATTAATGGTAGCTATTACCCCTATTAGTAATATTACCATTTTCCCCTTCTACCTCCTAAAGGGGTCTATTTAGATGGTTAAGTTCCTTGAGATGTAAAGAGATGAGGGAAATATAGAGGCTATTAGACTTGCTTAAGAAGTTATTTTTAATGGTAAAGAAAAGTAGTTAAACTCACTTTCCTCTCTTTATCAATGCTACAAACATAAGTATAGAAAATGACTAATGTATTAAAAGGCTGGGAGCCTGAGAACACACCTTCATAATTATTCCTTTTCCTTATTCTATTCTAAGTAGACCTACAATTCACTGTTAATAATGGTTCTCTGAAGGTAAAGCTTCTCAAATTTAAAATGCTCATGAATCACCTAGGGTCTTATTAAAATAGAGACTTTTATTTAGTGGATTTAGAGTGGGATCTGAAATTCTTTATTTCTAATAAGCAATCAAGAATTCTGGTGGCTTAGTGGCAAGGAGTCAAGCAGCCAAACAAAAGACATGTGGTTTGAATGCACTAGCTGCTTTGCGGGAATAAGAAGGGCAGGCTCCTCCCATGGGATTTATTGCCTCTGAAACCCCACAGGAGGGTCAGCTAGGAGTTGGTTCCCACTTGATAAATGGAAGCTTTTTCAGGCCCAGTTTAGAAATTCTCTAACAGGGACTAATTTCAGATGAATACAGAGTTTTTGGAACTGCCTACTGTGTAAGATGCTAAAGACACAAAGGTCAAGGATTGTAGCTTTCACTTCATGTTTATCTAGACTGTCTGTCAACTTCCTGAGGGAAGGCAGGCTTTGTCTCTCCATTGCTGAAGACCATAGACATGCTAAAAAATAAGGAATAAAGGAGTTTACAAGAGTTTCATTAAACTGTCTTCCATCAGTAAATGAAAATGAGACATTATATTAACTGCACTCTGATTCAGCTATCACATTATAGTTATTCCATTGCTCTTATGCCCCAATTCCAGATTTCCTTCCATAAAGCACACAAAATAGAAGAATACTTTTAAAGTGGATGGATTAATCTCAAGTGTAATGGGAACTACTCAGGCATAGTTTCAGGGGCAAAGACTATAGAGGGGTAAAAAAAGGCTTAAAATAGCTCCTTTCTTCTTCTCACAATATCAACAGAAAAGTCTAGGGCTGAGGTTGAGAGAAGATTTTGGAATTCTTCCTTCTAGATTTTTTTAAATATTTAATATAATTTCACTTGTTTAAAAATATTATGGTAGAAAGAAGAGTATGTATGCAAAATTCTAAAGAGTACCTAAATGTAATGAGATTGGGTTTTTTTTTTACAGACAGCAACAAAAATAATGTTTTAAAATACCCAGGCAAGTGTGAGTCCTACTAGTTACAAAGAGGCTACATTTTAAGCCTAATTCTAAAGTTAGGAAGTGGGACTATTTTGTTTTTATAAGTATGCCAACTCATATGTTCAGATGAATACCTCCTTCAAAATGGTTGTTCCAGAACATTCTGCACTTTTCTAGGCACATCACTAATGTCAGATAATTTTGGAAACGGTTTCAGAGTCTGTGAAAAAGTCTTCTGTATGTTCTCAATGGTGACTCTTGAAAATAGATTTGATTTTAAAAAACAACCTAAGGAAGGTCCTTCTGGACTAAAAAAACAAGAGGATCAGACAAACTGTCATGCTGAGAGGTTCAACTCTATAAAGTGTCGAAGCTGATTTTCTTTGGCTGAATTATACACAATCCCAGAAGGCAGCTTCTCAAAACAAAACTCATAAACATGACACCACGCTTGAGGTTCAGGGGCTAGAATTAACAGGTCTGAAGGAAATGCCACATATTTGCTGAAGTGGTCCCTCTCTCCAGAATAGTTCCCCGGGGCCAGATCAGATCCACCCTACCTCATAGGACCACACTTTTCCAGAAGAATAAAACTCTACCGCCTTATTCAACATTTCACTCCCAATCTGGGCACTTGTGTGTTGAATGAACAGCCTGTGGGAAGTTAAACTTCAGGGGGATTTCCAAGGTGCCGAGTGGACAGAAACAGGCCCAGGCCCAGGGAGAAGCCGTAGAAGGCGATTTCTGCTCTAAGGAAGGAAGACGTTGCCAGCAGCTGGAGCTGTCCAGCAATGGAATTAGTTTTCCTTGTAAATGGTAAGGTTCCAGCTTTAAGAGGAGTTTTAAAAGAATGCTATTTGTTACAGGAACCTGAGGAGGGGCCTCCTGTGATAGTTGGAGAGCTGTTCAATGACCTCCAAGGGTCATCTGTAGAGTCCATCCAGCACAGTATCTAGCACCCTGTAAATAAACGGCTGGGAAGGAAAGAATGAGGAATTTGGTGCCTCCATCGTCAAGCAATTAAACTCGGGGCTCAGGGGCAAAGAATGTTTTAAGGCGTGAGATGAAAATAGCCAGGGAAGCCATGAAATAGGCCTTCCTTGAGTTTTGAATACTGAGAGAAGTTACTTTGGGTACCTGAAGCCTCCCTCTCACAGTTACCACGGGAAGGGACATCTTTGAAGGGGGGGATAAGAGATAGAGGAGGAAATAGGCCACTGCTCACCCTTCTTGAACTCCTCCAGGACCGTGTCCAGCCGGGTATCATTGAAGACGCAGTGTAGGGGCCGGTTGTAGAAGCGGGTGACAGTGAGAAGTGGAGTGCAGTCGTCCGGGTCCACGAAGGCCAGATCTTTGACAAATAGAATGTCCACAATGTTGTGTCGCTGGTCGCCTTCATACACAGGGATGCGCGTGTAGCCGCTGCGCAGGATCTCGGACACCGTGGCGAAGTCAAGCACAGCGTCCGAGCAAAGCATAAAGCAGTCTCCGAGAGGGGTCAACACCTCCTCCACCACCTTGGTGCGAAGTTCTAGGGCGCCCTGGATGATGTTGAGCTCCTCCTTCACTAGGTCGTTGTAGGGGTCTGCAGCCCGCAGCGTCTCCAGCAGTTTCTCCCGCGTGTAGAAGGTGCTGATCTCCTGGCGCAGCGCCCAGTCCAGCAGGCGGCCCAGCGGGTAGCACACTGGGAAGGCAGCAGCCATCAGGAGCCTGGTCAGGCACACGCTGTGCGAGGCAATGGCCAGCCCATGTCGGGAACACACCGAGTAGGGACAGATCTCGGAGCCCAGGAACACCGCGCCGGTGCACACGAGCGCCGGCAGCCACGGGAAGTGAATCCCGGCCTCGCTGTAGTAGTCTTCCCCCGTACCTCCGACGCCCGGAGGCAGCGAGGCGTACAGCCAGCCGGCCAGGGCTGCGTTGGCTCCGGCTTGGCCCAGGAGCAGGGTGCAGAGTAGATGGGTCCCCCTGCCGCGCACCGCCTGCACGCGCCGTGCCTGCTCCTGCTCGGTGGCCGAGCCGCTGTTCCGCAGCACCCGTAACTCCACCGGGTCCAGCGAGAGCAGACTGAGGCGCAGGCCGCTGAACAGGGCAGACAAGGCGAGCAGCAGGAGGGCCCCGAGTGCCCGCAGCCAGGCGGGGGTCAGCAGGTCGCCGACCCGGCCGTAGAGCCGCGGCCGGACGCGCAGCAGGAAGCCGCCGGCGGCGCCGTGGTGGTGCCAAGCGCGCCCGTCCCAGGCGCACAGCGAGAAGAGCTTCCCGCCACCGCCCGCGCTGCCCTGCTCCGCTTCCCCTTTGCGCAGCTCCCGCACCCGCACCTGGACTAGGGCCGAGCCCGCCACGCCCCCGGGCCGCAGGGGCCCCAGGACCTCCACGTCCGAAGCCCAGTCGCTCTGCTCTCGGCAGCGCTGCGGCCCAGGGGGGCGCGTGGGAATTGCGCTGGGCGGCACGCTGCTCCCGCCTGGAGGCTCCTCGATAAACACGAGCCGCGGAGCCCAGTCGCCGGTGCCGTTTTCCCCCGAGGAGAGGGTGGGCGAAGGGACCCGCGCCGAGGGTGCCGTGGGCCCGGGCTGGAAATAGACGCGCAGGAGGAAACTGGTGCCTTCAGCCGCGCGCAGGGTGCCCCCCTCCAGGGACACGCGGCCTCCTGCGGTGTCCTCGGGCCGCAGTCCGAGTAGCCAGGCGTCCGTGGCCGGAGGTCGGGGTGACAGAGAGAAGAAGAGCAGGAGGACGGCGCCCTGACTGCAGCAGTCCCGGAGCCTGACACCCACCGGCGCTGCCGCCGCCGCCGCCGCCGCCATCCTGCACCCGGCGCGGCTGCACGTGATACTGCAGAAAGCCGACCGCGAGCGGTAGGGAGGAGGAGCCGGAGCCCGGAACCCGGCCCTAGGCGGGTCACCACGTGGACACCCCCTGCGCGCGTGGGCTGGAGCCTGCGGGGCTCACGGCCCGCACAGGCCGAGAGGTCCCCACCAGGAACGAACGCATCCTGCCCGAGCACATTCCTATATTGCTGCCACACTTCGGTTTATCTAAGCTGCCTCCTTGAAGAGCTTGCTTGGAGCGAGGCTTCCGACTCCAGTGAAGGGCGCCCCTCCGCGAACTCCTACCCGGCAGTAATTCTCCGCTGGCCCCAGTGCTTCCCTATTGGCCAGGAACATTCCAGCAATTCGCCTCTCAAAGAACTAAGTTCTTTTCCCATTTGGGTACCCTGGGGGTCCTAGTGCGTAACATATTAGACTGCTAACCGAAAGGTTGCTGGTTCAAATCCACCCCTGGTCTGGGGAGAAAAACGAGGTAGCCGGTCTCCTCCTGTAAAGATTTATAGCGTGGGAAATTCGACAGAGGTTGCAATGGGTTTGTATCTATCTGCTCAACAGCCGTGGGATTCTGGTGAAAAGGGATTCTAGAGGCAAATCTTGAGGTGTGAGAATTTGTAGTTTTTGGTCTGAATCTATCTAATCTCTCCTGTAGTAAAAATTTCCTAGTGATTTAAAATTCCTTGTTAAGATCTGAATGTTCACATTTAAGCAAACATTGAAATAATCTCGGAAGCTATGCTATGGAGTAGTATGCAGCAGGAAAAAAGAATGAGGTAGATTTATGAGTATGTGATATGATAAGTATCTCTAAAGTAATACCTGAAATAATATGTAGAACAGTATGTATAATATGCTGCCATTTGTTTTAAACCCTCTATGAGATGGATTGATTCGGTGACTGGGGTAATCGGGATGGGTGTGTCGGAGGCAGTGTGGTTGGCGCAGGATAGAGCAGGGTTTAGGGCTGTTGTGCATAGGGTCGCTATGAGTAGCAAATGACTCGATGGCACATAACAACAACAACATGTATAAATTTATACACACACAAACTAGACGGCATGTGCATAGGTTAAACATTATATTTGTAGTAAGTGGTTGCCTTTAGAAGAAAGGATCTGGAAGTTTATTAAAGGGAGTTTGATTCACAGCAATTTTTAAAAAGAGTTTAGTTGTACACTTTACCCAGCTCCCTCCAATGGCTATGTAATTATAGTAAGTTTTCTAAAGCAGAAAATTGACATTAGTATGATGTGTGGATTTAGCTCCATGCCATTTTATCACACAGGAGACTTTTTACTTAGATTATATACTATTTGCCATCAGAGATTCTTCTCTGAATCTATTATGTGCGTATATTGTTTTATGTTATTTCTGTGCATTTATTTTCCAATTTATGCCATAAAATATAATACTCTGTGTTTGATATACTGTTTTGACACAAAAATGCTTAAGCTTGCAGTCATCACAGTCATTTCTGTCACCCTCCAAAATGGTCTGTCCCTCCCCCACGCCTCACCTGTTGGAAACGACTAACAGTCAATTTAGTTATAAATGTTGTTAGGTGCTTGTCAAGTCAAGTACATCTCATGGCAACTCTATGAAGAACAGATCTGAACCTTGCTCTATCCTGAGCCATCCTCATGATCTTGGTATAGTAGTCCGTCTCAGTGAGGGTCTTCCTTTATTTTTCTGACTTTCTATCTTTCCCAGCATGATGTCTCACTCTAAAGACCGGTTCTTTTGAAAAATATGTCCAAAGTAAGTGAGATGAAGTTTGACGATCCTTGTCTCCAACAAGCATCCTAATTACATTTCTTTGAAGAGAGAGTTTTTTTTTTGTTTTTGCCAGTCTGTGAGTTATTAAGTACTCTGCTCCAACACCACACCTCCTGTCTGACTTATTCATTATCCAACTTTCAGATATATTGTTGTTATGTACCATTGAGTTGCCTGCGACACATAACAACTCTGTGTAAATAGCTCTGAATGCTGCACTCTCCTGAACCAGTCTCACTGTCTCTGTCACATTTACCCCCATTACACCAGTTACTGTATCAATCCATCTCATCCTGGGTCTTCCTCTCCTGAGCTGTCCCTCGATCCTTCCAAGCATGATGTCCTTCTCCAAGGACTGGTCTCTCCTGGCCACATGCCCAATGTATATGAGATGAAGCTTCAAAATCCTTGCCTCCAAAGAGAAGCTTGGTTTCACCCTCTTCAGGGTACACCTGTTTGTTCTCTTGACAGTCCATGGTATGTTCAGTACTCTTCTCCAGCACCACACCTTAAGCAATTGAAAAGACCATGGTTGGACCAGGCACATGTTAGCCTTTAAACTGACATCCTTGCTCTTTAGCACTATGGAGAGGTCTTTGACAGCAGATTTCCTCAATTCAGCATGTCTTTTGGTTTCTTGCCTGCTGCTACCATGGGTGTTGATTGTGGATCCAAATAAAGTGAAATTATTGACAACTTCAATGCTTTCTCAATTTATCATGATGTTGCCTATTGGTCCAGTGGTGATGTTGAGATGTAACCTATATTGAAAGCTATAGTCTTTGATCTTCCGAAACAAGTGTTTTAGTTTTTTATTAAAATATGTTGTTGTTGATTGCCATCAAGTCAAGCACGACTCATAGCGACCTGTATGGTTTTATTTACTTAGCATAATACATTTGAAATCAATCCTACTTAATGTATCTATGTTCATTTATTTTTATGACTGAGTAGCATTCCAGAGTCCTGGTGATGTAGTCTCTAGAAAGTTGCACTGATGACTCAAAGGCACTTCTCTCTAGCAGATAAAATCTACCAGTGGCTCCACAGGAGAAAAATGGGCATTCTCCCTCTTTTGTGCTTTACAACCTCTGAAAACCTGCTGGATCATCAACAATAAGTATGTTCTGACACTGCTGAGTCGCCTGTGACCCATAGCAACCCTAGTACAGCAGCTCTGAACACTGCCCTGTCCTGAGCCTGTCTCACTGACTCCGACACACCAACCCTCATTGGCCCAGTTACTGTATTAATCCATCTCATCTGGAGTCTTTCTTTCCTGCGCTGTCCCTCCACACTTTTGAGCATCATGTCCTTCTCCAAGGACAGGTCTCTCCTGGCCACATGCCCAAAGTATGTGAGAGGGATTCCAAGGAGAAACTTGGTTTCACCATTGCAGTGTGGTTTTTAGTATTCCATTATATGAAATGTACCACAGTTTGTAGAGGATATTTTAATTGTCTCTAGCCCTAGGGAGCATGGGTAAAGCAGCTATAAACATTCATTTGCAGGATTTTGTGTAAATTTTAGTTTCCATTTTTCTTGAATTATCAAAATATGATGACAGTAATTCTACATATTATCTTTGACACCTCTCCAATTAAAAAATAATTGTTGCTGTATATGAAATATTTTCCATGTGATTTGTGAGACTTCCAAAAAGAATGGTTGTGAAATCCTTGTAAAGGCACAAACCCAGCACTAGTGGTTCTTTTCCATGGTAAATTAAACTCTTCTAACAGAAGATGGAAGGAGTACACAGAGTCACTGTATCAGAAGGAAATGGCTGACACAGAGTGAGCAAGAACCTATGGTGATGAAGGAGGAAGTTCAAGTTGCTGTGAAGGAATTGGCAAAGAACAAGACTCCAGGAGTTGACTGCATACCAATTGATTTATTTCAACAAACAGACGCTACCCTGGATGTATGTGCCCTCTAGGTTGTGCCAGGAAATCTGGAGGATAGCCAGCTGGCCAACTGACTGGAAGGGATCGATATTTGTTCCCATTCCAAAAAAAGGTGACCCAACAAAGTGTGGAAATTATCGAACAATATCATTGATATCACATGCAAGCAAGATTCTGCTGAAAATGATCCAAAAACGTTTGAAACAATATGTCAACAGAGAACTGCCAGATGTGCAGGCTGGATTTAGAAGAGGTCGTGGGGATATTATAGCCAATGTAAGATGGATCTTGGCAGAAAGCAAAAAATACCAGAAGAATGTCTATCTGTGCTTCATTGACTATGCAAAGATTTTTGATTGTGGATCACAACAAGCTGTGGCTGACTCTGAGAAGAATTGGAATCCCAGAACATTTGATCATGCTAATGCGAAACCTCTACTTGGACCAAGAAGCAGTCATTAGAATAGAGCAGGGAGACAATGGATGGTTCAAAATCAAGAAAGGGGTCCGTCAGGGATGTATTTTGTCTCCATACCTTTTCAATCTGTATGCAGAACAGATCATCTGAGACACTGGGCTGTAAGAGGAGGAATGTGGCATTAGGATTGGTGGAAGAATTGTCAACCACCTGCGTTATGCAGATGACACAACCCTGCTCACTGAAACTGAGGAGGACCTGAAGGACTTGCTGCAGAAGGTCAAGGACTACAGTCTTCAATATGGATTGAAGCTCAATATCAAGAAAACAAAGATTCTCAGCACTGGGCCAATTGGCAGCATCAGTATGGATGGTGGAGAGACTGAGATAGTTAACAGTTTTAGTTTGCTTGGCTTCACAGTCAACACTCTTGGTAACAGCAGCCAGGAAATAGGAGACAAATTGCATTGGGAAGATCAGCTGTGAGGGACCTCTCAAGAGTATTGAAGTGCAATGACGTCAGGCTGGAGACTAAGGTGCGCCTGATCCAGGCTAAAGTCTTTGCACTTACATGCTATGCATCGGAGAGGTGGACAGTGAATAGGGATGATAGAAAGAGAATTGATGCCTTTGAGTTGTGGTGCTGGAGAAGCATGTTGAATATACCATGGACTGCTAGGAGAACAAACAGGTTTGTCCTGGAGAGGGTGAAGCCAGAATGTTTCCTGGAGTCGAGGATTCTGAAGCTTCGTCTGACATACTTTGGGCATGTTGCAAGGAGGGACTGGTCCTTGGAGAGGGACATCATGTTTGGGAGAGTGGAGGGACAGTGCAGGAGAGGAAGACCCTCGATGAGATGGATCAATTCTGTGAGGGGA